AGCATGTGGCATTAGTCCGGCCGTCGAGGTGGCGTAGTCGGCCGGCGGTCCGGCCGCCAGTTGGAGACCGGAAGCGTCGAAAAAGAACTGCCCAAGAGGCGAGGAAGAGGCTGGCGAGGCGGCAGCAGCAGCGGCCGCCGCAGCGGCGACGGCGGCGGCCGCAGCTCCTGCCGGTGTCATGCCCAAGTGGACATGCTGGCCGAGGCCCATGGCAACTGCGGCCGATGAGGGTTGTTGTGGCGCCTGCTGGTGCGTCGGTTGCATGTGTTGCTGTTGTGACTGTTGCTGCTGTTGTTGATGGTGCGGATGATGCTGGCTGTTGGGGTTGTAGGCCAGGGATCCGGGGCCAGGGAGACTGCTGGTGAAGATATTGTACTCACAACCGATTCCCGGAAACGGGTTGGCATCGGTCTGTAGCGTCAGCGGTATTGCAAGGCCTGACCCGCTGCTACCGGCGCCGAGGCTGTTGCAGCTGCTGTTACGACTGCCCTCATCGTGACCAGTATTGTTGATACCAGTTGAGGTGGTGCTGCCGAGGCTGGCAACTGTCGGAGTCGCCGTCATCGAGGCTAAACCACCGCCAGCCTCACCAGTCGTCAGGCGGACTAGAGGCATTCTGCGAGGCCCACTCACCGACAAGCCAGGCTGAGGTGTGCATGCCATGGGAGAAAGACCGGCGGCCGCTAGCGAGCCAGCAAGAGGAAGCAATGAGGTCGGCGGTGGAGGTGCCAGAGTCGGCATTGCCATCAGGTTGGTAGGGCCGAGGAGGCTGGGAATCGCGCCCAAGGCGGCGGCAGCGGCGTAGTTGGACGCCAGAGCTGATGCCGAAGAGGCAAGATGTAAGAAGGGACGATGAGAATAAGATTGGAGACAATCACTGATTTATGAATAAGAACTTTATCATCCTAGGCTGCTTAAGGTAAGTTATTGAGACAAAGTGGAGATTTTTCCCAAACTAACATGATAAGACCTAATGATGGCGTTGAATTACTCTTAACATGTTTATCGTTTTAAATAGCTTTTCCAGATTATCAGTAAGTCAAATATATGAGATAGGTTCACCATATTTTGTTTAAGATAATGAAGGAATCGTAGTTGAATTTTCCCATAATCATATAAGTTGAGCTGACGCTTCCATTTAATTTCACATAGTCTTGCTTCTCAAAGGCCTACCCTGTATGAGAATACCTTTTATGAAGCAAGGCTAACTGAAGTTTAATGGAAACTTAATGTCTACTCATACGGTTGTGGGAAAATTTAGCTACCAATCCTTCATCACCTTACACAGAATAGGGAGAACATTATCTTAGCATGGCCTCTAAAAGGCCTTCTCATCACACGATGATTGTATGCCTCATCAGCGCATCGAACCGGACTGGAAGCCGAGTCGTGCATGGCGTGACTACACGGTAGCGCATCGCTGCACAACCACAAGTTTCAATGGGTCAGAGTGCAGATGTGACTATTGCGACAAGTTAGGCATCGGCAAAGTAACAAATAAATCATAAATTTGTAGAAAAAACTGGTTTTCGAGGAATCCCTTAATAGATTGATTTTGGAGTAAATTCCTTTTCGACTGAAAAGGTGAGTGGAAGAGATTTGTAAGTTAGTCTTACCGGAAGTCGAAGAGGGGTTGTCTTGGAGCTGTGACTGTAGATTTTTATGATTAGCTCCTTGGCTCACAGTCCCACAACCCCGATGAATCCATGCTGAGCTTTCGTCCGTCATTTGACGGACAACCTCAGAGAAAGATACAATGTTTTATTTCAATTCACTGAGTACCAAGTCAAGAAAGATGTCTTGGCAAAGTATCGTGAATCACGGTGCCCTGTTCTGACGATCTCCGGCACATGAGTTAAGAAAGTTCAGCAACGATTCATCGAGATCGCGGGACGGTGAGCCGAGGATTTATTCACATAAATCTACAGTTATGGCTCCAAGGCAACCCCCTTCGGCCAACTCACGAACCCCTTCCACTCGCCTCTTTAAGCGAAATGAATGTATTTGTTATTTCATTTAATGTATACTTTCAAA